GGTAGTACTGAGGCATTCATCCTCCCTTGTATTTAATTAGGGCAAGAGGCTTTAGAAGTAGAGTAGTTCCAGTTGGAAAGGCCTTACAACGATCATCTAGTCCAACTGCCTGACCGCTTCAGGGCTGACCAGAAGTTAGAAGGTGTTGTGGAGGACATTGTCCAAATGCCTCTTAAACACCAACAGGCATGGGGCATTGACCACCTCTCTAGGAAACCTGTTCCAGTGTCTGACCACTCTCTCTGTAAAGAAATGTTTCCTAATGTCGAGCCTAAACTTCCCCTGGCGCAGCTTTGAGCCATTCCCATGCGTCCTGTCACTGGATCCCGGGGAGAAGAGACCAGCATCTCCCTCTGCACTTCCCCTCCTCAGGAAGCTGTAGAGAGCAAGGAGGTCGCCCCTCAGCCTCCTTCTCTTCAAACTAGGCAAACCCAGAGTCCCTGGCTGTTCCTCACAGGACTTGCCCCCCAGCCCTTCCACCATCTTTGTTGCCCTCCTCTGGATGCACCAAAGTCTCGGGGATAGCCTGACTGAGGAAGATGAAATTGGCCTCGATAGCATCCCAGTATACCCGTGAGAAGATGAAAGAAGTGAATGAAGAATGTTGTAAACAGGTTTGAGGAGATGATAAGAAACTGAGCAAGGAAAGACTAAACAAGTGAATACCACAGAGCAGAAATTTGGCAAGAGAACAGTAGATGAAGTGGGAAGTACAGTAGGAGCTCCAGCCAATCAGTATGTGAATAGAGGTGAATGGACAGAGCTACTGAGCGAATCATTAGAACAGCCTTAGTGCATGAACCGGTGGACAGATAAGAAAGATTATAAAAGGGTATGCTTTTTCTGCTGCGCCATCTCGGCCATCTTGGCTTTTTGTAACTTAATAAAGGCTGCCTTCTTACATATATTTTTGTCGGTGTCGATCCCTACCGCAACATTAAAGGACCCTCACATCCTTAAACTGTGGGTCCCTGGGCTGGTTCTGGATGGGATAGAGTTAATTTTCATCATAGTAGCTAGTATGGGGCTATGTTTTGGATTCATGCCGAAAACATCATTGATAAAACAGGAATGTTTTAGGTACTGCTGAGCAGTACTTACACAGACTCAAGGCCTTTTCTGCTTCTCACCCCAACCCACCAGTGAGTAGGTTGGGGATGCATAAGAAGTTGGGAGGGGACACAGCTGGGACAGCTGACCCCAGCTGACCGAAGGGATATTCCATATCATATGACATCATGCTCAGTAATATAAAGCTGGGGGAAGAAGAAGGAAGGGGAGGACATTTAGAGTTACAGTATTTTGTCTTCTCAAGTAACTGTTAAGTAACCTGCTTTCCTGGAGATGGCCTGCCAATGGGAAGTGGTGAATGAATTAGTTATTTTGCTTCGCTTGCACGCACTGCTTTTGCTTTACCAATTAAACTGTCTTTATCTTAACCCACAAGTTTTCTCACTTTTTCCCTTCTGATTCTCTCACTCATCCCACTGAAGGGGGGAGTGAGCAGCTGCATGGAGCTTACTTTCTGGCTGGGGTTAAACCATGACAGGCCCAGAGCTGCACACAGTACTTAAGGTGACACAACCACCCCATGCAGCACTACAGGCTTGGGGCAGTGTGGCTGGAAAGCTGCCAGGCTGAAAAGGACCTGGGGGTGCTGATTGACAGCTGGCTGAACATGAGCCAGCAGTCTGCCCAGATGGCCAAGAAGGCCAACAGCATCCTGGCCTGTATCAGAAATAGTGCGGCCAGCAGGAGTAGGGAAGTTATCATGCCCCTGTACTCGGCACTGGTGAGGTCACACCTCGAATACTGTGTTCAGTTTTGGGTGCCTCACTACAAGAAGGACATTGAGGTGCTGGAGCATGTCCAGAAAGGGGCAATGAAGCTGGTGAAGGGCCTGGAGTACAAGTCTTATGAGGAGTGGCTGAGGGAACTGGGGTTGTTTAGTCTAGAGAAGAGGAGGCTGAGGGGAGACCTTATTGCTCTCTACAACTACCTGAAAGGAGGCTGTAGTGAGGTGGGGGTCGGTCTCTTCTCCCAAGTAACTAGTGATAGCACGAGAGGAAATGGCCTCAAGTTGCAGCAGGAGAGGTTTAGACAGGAGACTAGGAAAATTTTCTTTGCTGAAAGAGTGGTCAAGCATTGGAACAGGCTGCCCAGGGAAGTGGTGGAGTCACTGTCCCTGCAGGGGTTCAGAAAACATGTAGATGTGGTGCTTTGGGACATGGTTTATTTGGCGTGTTGGTGGTGGTTTGATGATCAGACTTGATGATCTTAGATGTTTTTTCCAACCTTAAAAAAAAAATTAAAAAAATAATTGGCAACTCACAATACTACTAATGCCAGAACCACTTCTCGACAAAGCTGACCACATTGAGCCCCCAACCTTACATGTAACACACAACTGTCAAAAGATCAAATTGATGTAGGCTTCTGTTCTCATAATCTCTGTATGAGAGAAAGAAAAAAGAACTTCCTCCTGAAGGCTAGAGTGGGGAGGGAACTATGAGTCATTCTCAGTCCAGAGTGCAATTTTAAAAACAGCAGTGAGAGGAAAAAGGGAGAAGGGGGAGCAAGAATGTCAGAAAATCTCATTTACGCTGACTTGAACCTGATTGAATCAACCAGACCCAGACTACAAAAGGTCACTGACATCCAAGGTAGGTCAAGTGATCTGCACTGAGCTTTCTTTGTATGCTTCAGCCTCCCTCCCCCATATTTTGAAAGAGTGCCATGGATCCCCAGAGTTCCAAAGAGGATGAAGAAAATGTGAGGGGCAGCGCTGTCAAAAATGCACAGGTCGAGTATGCATGTAGATTTTTAGCCAAAAGAAGGGGGATTGTTATAAGGTCTGCTTTTCATTTGTTAAGGTGCAAGTGTGACAGAGAGTTTCTTACATGTTATTAAGAGTAGTTTCTATCAATTTAGCAGATTATTCCACAGTTGAAGATC